TATGGGTGAGTGAGAATGAGACAGGGGGGAAGGGAAACTGTGGGCATACACACATGGTGCTTTATCTTCCTATTGGTTTTGCAGTCTTTGCAAGGAGAATCTTGGAATCATGGAATCATAGAGTGGCCTGGACAGGAGGGGACCTTAAAGGTCCTCTTGTCAAAATTAGTTTTGTGCAGTTGCACAGCCAATTGGAACTCTGTTAGTATATTGACCAGGGCTGTGGTCAGCCAATTTGCTCTTCTACCCAGCCATTCTGTCCACACTGGGAGACAGCAGCTCCTGGTCCCTCTCTAGGTGATTAATGCAACAGTATTAACTAAGAACTCTGTCTGGTTGCTTTTCAAGAGCAGAAAGAATAACTCAGACACCTCATGTGTGATATGAGATACAGAATATCTGGAAAAAAAAAAAAAAAGGGACTGCCAGTCTCCACACAGACCAAAATAAGTGTTCTTCCTAATGTCCTGAGAGAAAAAGCACAAAATGTGCCCTTCCAGTTTCTCAAAATTCTCCACACACACTCTTGCTTTCTTCCTGTTAACTCTGAATCTTTATTATTTCTAATGATTAGACAAGAAGATGCAGTTTAATGTCTAGTTTTTTGTGATGCTTTAATTCTTCAAATTTCTGAAGCTGGATATTTGTGTTGGGTTATTGGTCACTGAAGTAATAAAATATTTTTTCTGCTTGAAACTTTTACAGTAGAAATAAAATGAATGCCAAATAATAAATTATTCTGCCCAATTGATAAGTTTTTATCATAATACTCTTAATAATTTAAAACTACCAAGATGACTTTGATGATGATCATTCTAGGTAGGCACTCAGACACATGAATATGGGTTTATAAAGCCAGCACTTCACGCACTTTTTCAAACATGTAATCTTATTTTTTTTCCTCCAGGTACACAGTAAGGTAAATTTAATTATTTAGGTGAGCAAAATTGCCAATAAATCCTTCTGAGATTTTATATCTATGATTCTGTACATGAAATATTACTTTATTCTTATGGGGTACTACCATCTTGCATTACAATGTCTCACCTAATAGCCAGGACTGGATCTCTTTCAAATGCAGAATGTCTAAAGTTATGCTGATGGTCAAGTGATGAGATATTTATATATATTCAGGTATTTAGTCTATGTATGTGGTTGCCATGATGCATTAATAATACGGTTCATCTTAGTTCTTTCCCTTGTTATAAAAGAGTTAAAACAAAACCAAAAGAAAAACATGAGGGTTTTTCTGTTCTTTGAAATTAGTTTGCCAGATATTTGTTAGGAACTGTGATATTTCAAAGGTTTCAATCACCTTATTGTATCTTATTTATAAACCCATTATATCTTATTCATAAAAACATTTATTGTGTTTATAAATCTTTGAGTTTAGCTATTGATGCTCTTTAAGAAGGAAAGGACTCATATTGAAGCATAGTTTGTAAAGTGAACATCAAGCTCAATATACAGGCCAATGTGCATTTCACTGATAGTTTCATGCCTTGTTACATAATGCATGTTTTAAGTGTCTGAAAATCAGCATTTGGGACTTGCTAGGAGGTAGAGCAAAATTCCCAATCAAAAAAATCTATATTTTCCTGGGTAAAAGAAGGAATACTGGCCAATCAAAGGCTGTAATATCTGCTTTACTATTAGGAAAATATCAAGAAATTTCAAGAAATTTCAGTTCCAGATTATGGGTTTCTACTAAAGCTAAAAAAGCCACTTCTCATTGTCCCTGAAACAGACAAAAAAAGTCAGACTGCTCTGGGTCGTCTTACTCAAATGGGTTAGCCATCGGATTTATGCAAATGCTGTTGAGCAGAGTTATGTGGACAAATATGAGATCAATTCTCCCACTTCTGTACTTCCTCCTGGGTAACGCATATTTAAGCATGAAAGTAAGATGTCTGTGTAAAACCTTTGGTACTTATAAAGTCCAGAGAGGGTGGGAGAGATTATTTGGGGTGTTTGTTAGGAAAGCAGGCATTTAAATCATGTCTGTAGTAGTGAGAGCAGAGAGGGACCACATTCTAGTCTACCAGCTGAACCAGCACGGTTCAACTATGAACACCTATATCGTTTTCCTTTTTCTCCAGAAGAAGATAAAACTGCTTACTGGATGCAGCTCTTGGCACACTTTTTTTTTTCCTGACAATGGCTCAGTACTCTCTGGAAATGCAGGAATTACAACAGGCCAAAGCCATGAAGGCAGTGGACAGACAGATAGGCACCATGAATGCGCCTTGTCTAGAAGTCTATGTAGCCTTATTGTGTAAAACAGAGCAAAAGGGAATCAGAATATTAAAAATGTCAATATAGGCTATAGACACGCTTTAAATCAGCTGCAGGGTAAAGAAAAAAAGGAAGGATACAGAATGGGAGGCATTCATCTGAGAAACAGATCTTAGGAACAGGTATACTCATGCACTCTTTAGAAATATGGACAATTCAAAAGTAATTTTGAGACAAAGCTGAGGACTTGTGAATCAGAGCAGGAAGATGATGTGTATGAATGGAGATTGGATATACAAAAATCTTCATAGAAGCCCACTATTGCATTATTTACTTCTGCTCCTGAATAAACATTTTCTGTCTTGCTTCAGTAGACACACGGTTTTGCTCATTTTCTTGTTACTATGTATGGTGGACTGTTCAATATACTTCCTAAAAACTGATTTACACTTTCAAATATGAGTCATAAATCGACTTACTTCTATTAGATCTATTTTATGTAAAGGACATGTCATACTAAACAGGTCTAAGACCAAGAAAGAATCTCTTTGAATGTAAAACTGTTACCAGACCCAGCATTCCTGCCTCTAAACAATTGACTATGATTACTAATTGAAAATAGAAAAACTATTGCTGTATTTCACCTAACCTTGAATCCTGAGTGCAGTTTTGGGTACGGCAACATAAGATATAAAGTTATTAGATAGCATCCAAAGGAGGGCATCAAAGATGATGAAGGGCCTTGAGGAGAAGCTGTGTCAGGAGCAGCTGAAGTCACTTGGTCTATTCTGCCTGGAGGAGACTGAGGGGAGACCTCATTGTAGTCACAATTTCCTTGTGAGGGGAAGAAGAGGGGCAAGCACTGATTTCTTCTCTGTGGTGACCAGTGAGAGGAGCCATGGGAATGGCCTGAAGCTGTGTCAGAGGAGATTTAGGTAGGAAAAGGTTCCTCACCCAGAGGGTCATTGAGAACTGGACCAGGCTCCCCAGGGAAGCGGTCACAGCACCAGCCTGACAGAGTTCAGGAAGTGTGTGGACAATGCACATGGTCTGACTTTTGGGGATGGCCCTGAGCAGGACCAAGAGTTGAACTCAATGATCCTTGGTATTATACAACTCAGTATATTCTGTGATTTTATGATTTATTGTTGCAAATGTCAGCAAAGCAACTGAAGCACCAGAAATGTGGTGATGTAATTGACAGTGGGAAAACCACTTTCTGATTAAAAGTTTATCTAAGAACAAAAGATACACACATCTCCTGGTCTTCCTTCTCATTAATCATTTACTGTGAATAAGAAATCTTAGTAAGCAATTAAAATTGAATTTGTAATGAAAAAAACCCATGTTCCACGGAATGCAGTAGGCAAAAACTGCTATAAAGAGATAATTACAAACCATAGATTAGTAATAAAGGCTTCATTTTATCACCTAGAAACTTACCACATACTTGCCACTGTTGCAAACAATCTAAAATACAAGTTTGGTGATTTTGGGGCTACTACATTGATACTTATTATACAATTTAGGCTATTATTCATAAAATTATAACCAGCGAGATGAAACACACTGAGATCAAACCAAACTCTCGTCTAGATTGGTCATTTCAGGTGTCATTTTTTTTTAGCCTTCTCAGCTTAAAAATTTGATCTGTTTCAAATTTGATAGTTTCTGTTTCTATTACATCATTCCTGGAAAGAATGGAAATTATGAGCTGACTATATTGGTTTTCAGTCCATGTTTAATAAAAAGTAGTTTCCAGGATTTTCAGATAATTAAAAAGTACAAAAAAGGAATTTTTTTTTGTTATGTAACAACCTAGATAGCAAATATCTAGACAGTAAATAATGTACTCCAAAACAGTTAAGTAGAAAATAAAATGGGGAACAAGGAAATTTCTCTGTACTCAGTCACACAGGTTTTTATCACCTTTGTAGCCTGGTGTCCAACCTGATTTTACATGAAACATTTCCATATCCAAAAGAGCTTAATACTAATGACAAACATCATTGTTTGGAAGACAAAACGTAGCAAAAATTAAAATCAGCATGTGTATTTTACTTCTCTGTTTAAATGGTGACAATAATTGCAATAATCACAAGTCCTGCAGCCACGGCCATGCAGCATCAGTTGAGAGTATCTTTAAAATGTTCCTTTTAACACCCAAGTGTAGGCTTAGGTTTTCACTGTGGCAGATTTATCCCCTAGTCTGCAGCTGTCGGTGTTCAGGTACCCTAACGCGTCTTTTAATGCTGTGGACTGGATAAGGTTTTATTTGTAGGGAAGCAGCACCATCTATTGCAACCTGATAGCTTAGCTCTAGATAGTATAAAGACAGGCTTGGCCTGAGCCCAGCTTTCAACTCTTTCTTGCAGGCAGTTTTATAAATTTGTCCTTGTGCAGCTTCAAATGAGATTAGCATCTCACTTGGTGAGATTTGGTGGTGCAGGGACAGGGCTGTGTTCCATGCATGCACGTCTAATAAAAAGTCACATCTAAGAAGCATAACTGTTTACAAACTAAGATAATAAAATAGCATAAGCCTAGTCCTAAATAACTGTTGCTTTTAAGTGACTTTGCTGGAGTTTTCATTTCTGAAGTGGGAGGACAGTCAAAAGTTAAGAGCATATTTTACCCAGGTGATATTCTCTCAAAATTTTCTTCCAAAAGCAGCATTAATGTAGGTGTGCAGTACAGTATGTTCTTCTAATAATGACAGTGCTATTGTCATCCATCTATATTTCTGGTTCTTCTCTTTTTTCCAGACTGTCTACAAAGCCTGGCTCTGTTCCCAGTATTTTGAAGTCACACAGTTTCACTGCAGCAACAGAATTCCTTGCAAGCAATACTGTTTGGAGGTTCAAACGAGGTGTCCCTTTATATTACCAGACAATGATGATGTCATCTATGGAGGACTATCAAGTTTCATCTGTACAGGTATAGTAGAGAAAAAACAATTTCACTTGTTTTCTTAAGTCTAAATATCATGGATTTAGCTCCAACTCTGAGACCCTAAAGGTATTCCACATCAGAAAGATTTCTTGGAGGTGCTAGGATTTGAGCTCAGATCTAGTAATGCACAGTTATGATGTAGCCTGCTGGTCATCAGCTTTACAAAACAAGATTTCTAGAAAAAAAAATTAGTCTGCTTATTTTTTACATTTAATAATCTGGTGAAGGATTTATTTTACTTCATGTCATGCAATACTCAGAGACTGTATGTCATTCAATATTCAGAAAAAGAAAAGAGAAAACGTGCATCCAGTTTTCAGCATATTCACCTTTGTTTGCCTGCATTCTTATGCCAGATGAATCAAGAATCTGAAGCACAGCATTCAAAATTGTACAGCAGCTCTCAGAAAGTGTTTAAGAAAACATCTTTCACTAGTGAAGAAATTTAAGAACCTGTTGTTCACCTGTGAAGAACTTTTTTTGATTTTTGTATGTTTTCCTATTGAGTCTGGTTACATTTTATGAATATTTTTTTAATTGTAAAAGATGTTGGTAATGTATATCTCAAGTACCACAGATACTTTTTTCAGGAATGGATGGGGATTATCCACACAAAATTTTAGTTTATACCAATATTATCTTCATACTTATGGTGCCTAGACTATCATCTGAGAATCTTTAAGATATTTAGGTAACTTATTCCCAGTTAATTAATAAAAAACGAGTTTCAACACTTAGATCACTTGACATCATCATCCAAATATCAGAAATTAAACTGTCTTCACCTCTTAATTAGGGCTCCACTGGAAATCTTGATAGTAAATAAGTTGCCTAAGGTAAGCTACTTAAAACTAGAGTCAATTATAAGAATCCATAAATGTTATATACCATCCTAGATGCAGGCATAAGGATTATGGCAACTCACTTCGCCTTGTACCCTGTGTTTAGATTTAAGGTGATTCTGGTAGCAAGGCATTTACTGGATTTTTTTTTCCTTGGAAATTAAACTTATTGCACAAAATCAAGCAATATCCATCCATATACAAAAGAAAATATAACAAAAAGTAAGCTGAGTTACAATTTTGCATTAACAACGTTCTTACCTTACTTCAATGCATTTTTTAAAAATTAATAGCCTTCCAATATGTATATGCAGTAAGCAAATGAGCATTATTTTCTAAGGTAATATTGTAGAAGTGAGAGACTTAGAGAAATTTTATTTACTACAAGTACATAATTGATATGTATGTTCACATATATACGTGTGTACACACACATGTACACAATGACAAGAAACCAAACCAACAGCAAAATCATCTTGGCATGTATTTCAGAAAATCTGTCATCTCTTCATTTTCCTAGTATAACTCATAATCCAAATTCCTTCCTAAAACAAACAAAATAGATGATTTTGAAAAGATTACTGACATCTCCGAGTCTGGGATGGAAAAGCAGCTTTAGGGGAGGATTAAACTCATTTTGTTGCAGGTATTATTAATGTGGGTGTGTACGCATGAACTCTGTGACTAAGCTCTGCCTAGAGTCTTGGTGTAGCCAGTAGAGCTGAGAGCCATTTAACCCACCCTGAGCAGGCACCTCACCTGATGGAAGGACTTGCTCACATCGCTGGCTGTGCTCTATTGCTGTAGCTGCTGTTAGACCAGGGTCTATTGCAGACACCAAAAATCAGGGTGACCTGAATCTCGTCTCAGCTGTCCACTAACAAATATTTGGTTGAACTTTTTGTCCTCTCAAGCCCAACTCCAGCAGCAGCAGAGCAGAGCTTGTGTTCACAGACCCACAGGAGGCACTGTGCTGGCCCTAGAGAGTTGTGTGCAAGGGAAGATGTTGAGGACAGGTATGAGGCAGCAATTCAAACTCTGTCTGGAATACGGACCCATTTTCACCCTTATTAAGCAGCAGTTCACTGTAAGAGTGCTTCCTGCCACTAAACAATGAAAAATTAGACTATAATCTGCTGCAGGAATAAAGAATTATACCTCTTTGCAGTTTAATGAAAACAGATTTATTTCATTCAAAGTACAGTGAGCTCAACAGCAGAAAAAAACACTCTAGCTCAGCATAGCTTGTGATAGATAACTTGAAATCCTTTCAAAGAAAAAAACAGCTCAGAGAGGGTCACCCATGTCTTGAGAGACATTTCCTACTGCAATTTTTGTGTTTCCGTCTGGTATAGACCTTCTGAGAAATCTAGTTATTGATCTGTCTCTTCATTAAAAAAGCACAAAAGAGTAAGGTAAAAAGGTATCCTTATCTAATATTTAGATGTCAAGTAACAAGAGAAGGTATACAAGGGATAGCTGATTTTATTTGGTGTTGACTACAGCCCAGAGCTCAGGATGAACACTAAAACATTGCCTGTAATTTTACAATTGCAGACAGGTAGAGGTTGGTGGGGCCCCATACCCCATGCTGGGAGGTGCCCTGGCAGTGGGAGCTGCCACCTCCCCTTTCAATCCTGTCCTACCACAGCAGTAAGTCAGAGCACAGAGATCTGCTGGAGATGAGTGCATACCAGCACTGGTGGACAATAGGGAATCCACAAATTGTTTTTTTGTTTTTTTTTTCTTTCAGACCAGGATTTTTTGTGGTGTTGGGGCCTAAAAAAAAAAAAAGAAAAAACCTGGAGGCTGTAAAAGAATATAATAACAAGGGCTTTACCCTTCCTTGGAAGGTCCTCATGATGAGAAAACAGCATAGAACTATTTTTCCCCAATAAATACTGCAGTCATTGTTATATTTGTAATTAAGTTTAAAAGAAAATAAAGTGTGGTTTATAATATGTATTAATAACAAGTTATTGGAAATTCCTGAAGAAGTAACAAGTATTCTAGCCTGAGAATGTCTAACTTGATCACCTCCAAAAAAGCCTATAATAGGAAAGGGAGAAGGCATGCTACCCTCATTTTGCATCACCAGAACTCATCTTTTGTAGAAATGCATTTGAGGATGTGGAACAACTGCAGTGCAAGAGAAAGCGCTTGAGAGATTAATCAAAACAATCAGAATCACAGTGTGGTTCTGATTGTGGAAATATGCAGTTAGGCAGAAAGAATTTAGTGTTCCCTTCCTGCCCACTTTCTTCCAGGACATATAAGGAAAAAAGTTGATCCTTCCATCAGGTGCTGTGCTGTAACCTGCTGGTTTTCAGATTCATTAAAACTGGATGATTACTTTCAGTTTAGACCTTTGGAGTTCATATCCATACAAGTAAAGTTTCCAGTGGTTTCATCCAATGTTTCTTTTTACAGTTCAGCTGTCTAGAACTGCCCATGCAAACCAAAATCTCATTTGAGGGAGATAACAATAGTTTTTCAGGTGTACATGGAAAATTACAGTGAATTAGTCCCATGCAAAATTCCAGGTCAAGGTTTTTACCTGTAACTTCTAAGAAAAGAGTGTTCATTCCAGCAGGATTGTTTTATATTGTAAATGTAGTCATCTCTTCTTTAACTAAATGGGCTACAGCACCATAGTACCCTATGCCAACCATTGATGCACATTTGGTCTACAAAATTAGACTAGAGATAGAGTGGGGGAAAATCCCTTCAGAGGCATTTAGGTTTGACATGAGATAGGTACCCAGTACCAGCCACTTCATTGTACAGATCTTTTCATATTCCCAAAAATTACTTGTTAATACAGCCTGTTCTGACTGTTTGGAGAAATTGCTGTCCACATGCCAAGTCTGGACCAGTTTAGAGTGCAGACTTAGGGCTAATTGTGTCTTAAGGGCTTTCTTTGAAATCACCATGACTTATGGTCCCTTTGTGCCCTGTGGCATAACAGGGCCATCACCCAGCATCAAGTCTCAGGCCAGAAATCCCAGCCACATACTCACTCTCTCTATCTGTACAATAGATGTCATGGCATTTAATGGAGAAGGAGAGTTCCTCTTTGTTGGAAAGGAAGAGAATGTAGTGAGCAACAATAAGGCAGAGATGTGTTGCATCAACTTCTTCCAAAATTGGCATGGCATTCTTTAGTACTTCCTAAGAGCAGTGGCATCAGAACAAGTCTTCTACCATCAAGAGGAGAATCAAATTTGTCTATTTGGTGTTGAACAGACTAGTGATGGTTTTCAGAAAGTGTTGAACAGACTTCTGATACTTACTCCTACAGAAGGAGAAAGTAAAGGGAGAGAAGAGGTAAGTAGACAGGTGATTCAGGTACTTTAAATCACTAATATCTTTCAGTTCATATTAATTCGGACTCCTAATTTTATGCGTTCTGATTAACCTCTCAGTTGTTTGGAACACAATGTGAACTAATTTTTGGCAAATAACAGTAACATATGTTTATGTGATTCATGTAAAGTAACACTCACATGGAAACTCCACCTCCTTTAAAGAATTCACAGGAAATAACACTGTCAGTCATGCTTCATAGCACACAATAATGTTTCTAAAGACACAGTGAGAATTATTACAGAGAATTCTCATCAATCTGTAGAAGTTTGATGACTAGCAAAGCTCAGCAAAAGTATTAGAAGAAATTCTGTAAACTGCAGCTTCCTCTCAAGGGGCAGATGTGTAACTGGGTTTCACCAACAGGTTTGGCTATAGTGTGTCTCCTCCAAACAGATGCCCTGATTTCAGTGAAATTTGAAAAGCAATTTCCTTGAGAAAATGTGGTATATAGAAAGTAATACAATCTATCTATTTCATAGAACAATTCAAGAAGAGAAAATCACTCTGAATTCAATCTGCTTTATGTTGTTCTTGGCAAATTCAAAAACCCTATATATTTGATCCAAATTCTTTCTCTAAAAATGTCTTATCTTATAATAATGAGCATTTACCTCCTGTTTGCACCTCTTAATAGATCCTAAAATATCAAACTATTAAGCTAACACAGACAGCAGGATAAATCCCTTTTATATTTGATAAGTATGGTTTAAATCATTACTAGCCATGGATCTGCTTACTGGGAAAATTTGACATGGTTTTTTCAGCAAAATCTAT